GAATATTCTTCGACCACTAGATTAAATAACGTCCATTAATTGTAGAAATGAATTAAACAACGGCTCGGTTAGCTAAATAGCAGCAAGATGGGCAACAACAGGAAAGCAATGAAGTGGCAGGAGTGGTTAAAGCTGACAATTAAATGGCAGATAAAATGCAGAGCAAGTGGGGATTTCGGTAGATGGGAAATGTGTAACTGTCAACTGTGACTCAGAGGGGTGAGAGTCATTCAGGCTTTCGTTGGGCGTCTGGCCCTTCGCTGTCTGCTGTGGTGCATCTGGGGCTGTGACAAAAGGCTGGTTTATAAGTCGGACTGTTCAAAAAACAAAAGGGGTGCATGTATCTCAGTTTGTACCAGATGGAGGGCTGGGGCTATGGGGACCCGCCATGTTCTAATGCTGGCCAGGGCTGGCTGCTGACAACTGTCCGGCTTCTCCTGATAAGGAGCTGCTATTGGGCAATCTCCAAGCGTCTCGATGGGGCTGGAATTGGCAAGCGTGTGGTTAATGTAGCCCACACGAGGTGGTGATGAGCTGAAGCAGGCCTCTTTCTGCTAGTCCTGCTGCTGCAGCTGTCACCTTCCTTCCCAGACATGAGTGGAGTCACCTTCAGCTGGCTTTAGTGCGCAAGGTTGTGTCTGGCGTGTGACTGACTGACAATTTCCTGCAATATCCTGAATGAACTTTATTGAATTAAGTTAAAACTTATTGAATTAGGTGTAATGCCTTTGGGGTTCATTGTGTTAAAAATACAATTGTGGATTGGTTATTGTGGAATTATATGTAACTTCTCTAGGAAACTGACTAATACACCCTCTGGAAGGTATTAGGAACTTCAGATAGCTTTTTGGAACAATACGTGCGAAGTGGATTTCCTAGGAAATAGCTGGAAATAGTATGCAAATAATCCACTTTAAATCCACCCTTTTGGAAGCTAGGCCCTGGGGAAGAAAACCCATTTTCTACTAATATCCTGCTCCTGGAAGCTCCAGCTCAAAGACCCCAGAACTGTAGAAAGGGTGTTTATAAACCTGTTTTGAGTTTGCTAGTTCTGTGCTGAGGCTGTGATAAACTAGTGACCACAAGGATTCCCACTTGGGTGGGAGTTTGAAGGACTATTCCTGCCAGAATCCATGTTTGGGCTGGGGTTAACTCTGGTAAACCTATTAGCATGCATTAGGTTATTTCATTGTTTTAAATATGTTTTCTCTGTAGTGCTTTTTACCTTCAGAAAAAATAGGCTTGCATCGAAAGAACTTTGTGGTACTTATAAATGAAACAATTATATCTGTTAAACCTCTCTGAAGAGGAAGCAAGCAGGTGTCCTTGGGCAGTCTGTCTTTGCTGGGAATGACATAGTGAAGGCAGGGAACTGTGCCTGAAAATGCTGTGATCAGAAGGGAGAGGCACACGAGTCTCCACCCAGACACGCAACTGCTGGGGAGCTAGAAGTTGAGAGTGGGTGCCCTGGCTGGACCATAGAGGGGGAATACAGATGCGGTTGCCCTGAATTACCACATTGCACGTCAGGTAATCACAGTTGGTTGAGTTGTGTGAGTGTGAAGCAATTGAGAAGGTTGGGTTGTATGGGCATGAATTTCTTAGAATATGCACGTGGTTAAATTAACTGTGGTTTGCTTCTTTCACTAGGTCACAGCTTTGGGGTTATTGTTCAGGTGGCAGGACTTGGCATTACTTTGGTGGGAGTTAGAATTAGGTCTCTCAGCCCCACAAACGTTGGACAAGGAGGTAGTGCCTTTTCCTGTGAATTTGGTGTGAATTCCTGTGAATTAGCCCAGCTTTACCAAAGAGGGTTGATTTGCATGGAGTCCCTGAACTGTCTGACAAGGTTCACGGTTTCTTCAATGCAGGCTGTATCTAGTCCTTGGGAAACTGCAGGCCCAGAGCAGGTTGTGTGGAAACAGGTTGCTTAAGCCTGGGACAGTTAAACTATTCAGTATTTGAACTTCAAAGGCTGACGGCACGGGTTGGCCGTTGCCTCCTCCACTTGAGTTGCTGCTAGCATAGGCTGAGGTTGCCTTTCTGTCGTTCCCACCCATACATCCATTTTGAACTCCTATGGCTGCTTCCTATGAGTGTGCTGTAGCTGAAGGCCAGGAGGCAGGTTGGCTGAACAAGCACCAGACAACCAGGGCTGGCTGCCTCCTCCCCCTACCTGCCTCGCTCTGTTGTACTGAGAGGCCAAGTGCGGGTCAGAGGAAAGATATAGGGAGTGTGGGAGAGTCTTCCCTGCTGTTAAAGCAGATAAAGACCTCCCAGCTCCTCTAGCATTCAGTGGCTTCGGGGGTCTCACTGGTTGGTGAAGTGAAGACTCATGGGACATGGAAGATCTGAGGTGGAAGGGAGTGGGGCCTGGCTAGGGCCTTCACAATATCCTCTGGCAAAGAGTTCCACAGGTTGACTGTGCGCTGTATGAAAAAATACTTCCTTTTGTTTATTTTAAACCTGCTGCTTATTAATTTCATTTGGTGACCCCCTAGTTCTTGTGTTATGAGAAGGAGTAAATAGTACTTCCTTATTTACTTTCTCTACACCAGTCGTGATTTTATAGACCTCAGTCATATCCCCCCTCAGTCATCTCTTTTCCAAGCTCAAAAGTCCTAGTCTTATTAATCTCTCCTCATACGGAAGCCGTTACATACCCCTAATAATTTTTGAGCCCTTTTTAAAAATTGGCATCACATTCGCTATCTTCCAGTCATTTGGTCCAGAAGCTGATTTAAATGATAGGTTACAGACTACAGTTAGTAGTTCTGCAGTTTCACATTTGAGTTCCTTCAGGACTCTTGGATGAATTCCATCTTGTCCTGGTGACTTATTACTGTTTAATTTATCAATTGTTTCAAAACCTCCTCTAATGACACCTCAATCTGGGACAGTTCCTCAGATTTGTCACCTAACAAGAATGGCTCAGGTTTGGGAATCTCCTTCACATCCTCCTCTGTGAAGACCGATGCAAAGAATTAATTTAGTTTCTCTGCAATGGCTTTATCGTTCTTGAGTGCTCCTTTCGCATCTCGATCGTCCACTGGCCCCACTCAATTGGCCCCACAGGTGGTTTAGCAGCTTCCTGCTTCTGATGTGCTTTAAAAAAATGTTGCCATTACTTTTTGAGTCTTTGGCCAGCTGTTCTTCAGATTCTTTTTTGGCCTTCCTCATTATATTTTTGCACTTCATTTGCCAGAGTTTATGCTCCTTTCTGTTTTCCTCACTAGGATTTAACTTCCACTTTTTAAAGGATGCCTTTTTGCCTCTCACTGTTTCTTTTACTTGTTGTTTAGCCACGGTGGCACTTTTTTGGTTCTTTATTATGTTTTTTAATTTGGTGTGTACATTTAAGTTGAGCCTCTATTATGGTGTCTTTAAAAAGTCTCCATGCAGCTTTTGGCATTGTACCTTTTAATGTCTGTGTCACTAACCTCCTCATTTTTGTGTAGTTCCCCTTTCTGAAATTAAATGCTACAGTGTTGGGCTGCTGTGATGTTTTCCCCACCACAGAGATGTTAAATTTAATTATATTATGGTCACTATTGCCAAGCGATCCAGCTATAGTCACCTCTTGGACAAGATCCTGTGCTCCACTTAGGACCAAATCAAGAATTGCCTCTCCTCTGGTGGGTCCCAGGACCAGCTGCTCCAACAAGCAGTCATTTAAGGTGTCAAGAAATGTTATCTCTGCATCCCAGCTTGAGGTGACATGTACCCAGTCAATATGGGGATAGTTGAAATCCCCCATTATTACTGAGTTTTTTATTTTAATAGCCTCTCTAATCTCTCTGAGCATTTCACAGTCGCTATCAGCATCCTGGTCAGGGGGTCGGTAATAGATCCCTACTGCTATATTCTTATTATTAGAGCATGGAATTTCTATCCATAGAGATTCTATGGTACAGTTTGGTTCACTTAAGATTTTTACTTCTTTGAGTCTATACTTTCTTTCACATAGAGTGCCACTCCCCCACCAGCACGACCTGTTCAGTCCTTCCAATATATTTTGTACCCTGGTATTCCTGTGTCCCATCGATTATCATCATTCCACGAAGTTTCTGTGATTCATATTAAATGAGGATATTGATATAATAGGTGACACTCTAGTTCACCCATCTTCTTATTTAGACTTCTAGCACTGGCATACAAGCACTTTTAAAAACTTGTCACTTTTTAGCTGTCTGCTATTACATGATGTAATTGAATGGGACTCTTTTTCATTTGACTGTTTCTGATCAGATCCTACCTGTATTTTATCATTTGCCATCCTGGAGCCTTAATTTGGCAGGTTTGAACTGAAGGTGTGGAAGGAAGGTTTAATGTCCCTGTGTCTGCTGGTTTTACTCCCCTCTCTGGATTGTGGCTAGATCATCTCTGCCGAGGAGGTGGTTTATCTCTGCGCAGAAGAATACTATGGACATTTTTGCCCCCGGAGAATAGCATTGCATTATCAAATTTCAGAGGCTATTGTCTGGACTCTGCCTGATGTGATCTTTATCCCTCCTTCTTCCAAAGGGCCTTTAAGTAAGTCATTTTAAAAAATATAAATAAAAAAACCACGAAGGGCTAGATCCTTTTCTGGTGTAAATTGGTGCAGCTCTGTTGACATCCATGGAGCCATGTTGACTTACAGCCACTGAGAATCTGGTGATTTTCAGTGAGTAGCGGACTGTTCTACGGTAACTTTAAACTACTACTTAGGTAAGAAATTAGTGGAGAGAAATCAGCTGTTCATTTTTAGGCTTTGCAGGAGCGTTAACATTTCTAATGTTTTAATGTATTCTGAAGACTTTCTCTCGTTTGATTTAGCCTTCGTCGCATTATTTTATTATACCATATATCTTCAGCATTTGTTGAGGAGCCATTGTAAATGTGAGGACTAAGCAGCTTGCTAGATAACATCTTTTTTCCCCCTCTTTAAAAGATTAAACTGAGACTGTTCTGTCTGATGCCAGAATAGATTTAACCAATCATGTATCCTTTATATGTAGGTCAGTCAGAGGGACAATCCAGCACTGGATCCTATTATCCATGGGTTGAAGGGTGTCGTACATCATGGTAAGTAGCTACTTAAACTTTTTTTTGCTGGAAGGGTAGAGGGGCTAGAATATTGTCCTTAAGGGATCGGGTCACCCTTCAAAGGACATATTGAGATTACATTCTTCATTCACTGAAGTTTAAGGGCATTAAAGCCATTATTTGATTGGTACATATCAGACTCATTTGTTACCTGAAAACGGGTGTGGGTTAACAGTAAACAATTTGTTTCTTTTCAATCAGTGCTTTAGAATGTGCAAGTTATAAATCAAAACTTAGTACAATATATCATTCATATTAGTACTTCAGATGCAGTGCAGATGTTTCATGCCTGCTATTTATCTTACATTTGGTCTAAAAATACTCCTCTGAAGTTTCTATTTGTTTACAAATTATTTGTCTTTCAAATTTAGGGAGCTGATAATGAAACAGAAAATTAACTATCTGTGAAAATTAATTAAACTTTGCAGCCGATGAACATCTTTCTAATGCTTGCATAAATATAATCATTCGGCTGTTCTGATGCATATAAACCTATTATCCTTGAACTTATAGAAGGTACTGAAATAAATATTAATATATTTTTTATATTTTTATAACTAGTTTTACTGAGGAATTATCCTGAAACCTTATCATTAGTAATGCGTCATTAGCAATGACATCAAGAATCTCCACTTCCAGCATCCCCTTGTCAAGTTTTAATATAATGATTTCTAAAGTTTTAATAATCTCATTATGATTCAAAAGGCATCTGCAGAAATGCCGTTAGGTGCTATAATAAATCTCTGCTCTGTCTATACTACTGCAATAAAACATTTTTGCACCTTTTCAGAGGTTTGTCTTTAGACATTAGCTGGTGCCATAGAGCTTAACAAACATTTTTTTTCTCTTGACTAGAAACCTAAAACTAGTTGACAGTGTTAGATTAAAACAAATAGGATTTTGGATTAATTGCTCTGCTTTCAAAGTTATTTAACATTGCAGCTGTGCACACCAATAAATCTAGTGCAAGTGAAAAATAGGGGTTAAATGATAACATACCACAAAATCCTTCATTGAGAGAATTTTCCATTGGTTTTTGCCATATATAAATTGCCGTGTTCTACTGTGAAATAAAAACTCCACACTGAGCTGAAATAGATGTTGTTATCCAGTTCCCACTGAGTTACAAAACAGGCTGCCAAAAAAACAAAAAAAACACCAGGGATGAGTTGGGCAGTTAGCATTCTCCAGCCTTAGATAATTTGACTGTGAAGTCATGCTGCCATTTACTTGAACCAAAATCTTTTTTAGGTTTGTATCCCACCTGCTCTCTCTTTCCCCCGGCAAAGGTGGATGGTGTTTAATCCATCCTGTTCCTTTCCCACTACCCCTCCTCCCCCCAAACTGCTGCTGCAAAAACTGCTAGCGTATAATCATGCTGGTGTCTAGTAAGAGTAACCCGTTCCCCCCAAAATAAGTCTGGTATAACGTGACCTGGTCCCTAGCTTGTGATTCCGTGGCCACAAAATGATATTCTTGGAGTTGCCTAGTCACAGCAGAAGCTGGGTGGATAAAAGATGTTTGTTTTTGTTTCACTCACAATGCACAGAAGACTACTAACATTTCAAGGGGAGGAAATAGGTTGATATATTTTAATAACTTGCTTCCTTTAAAAAACACAAAGAAAAAAAATAAAGGAAAATCTTGTTTTCCTTCCTGTTTTGGCTACTTAAAGCCTTACTTTTTAGTGGGAGAAAGGCTTTCTTGCAAGGAGGGGGGGCAGGTTACTAAATTGTTTTTAAAAAATAGATTAAATACTGATAGCTCTTTCTTTTTAGTGGGAGAAAGGCTTTCTTGCAAGGAGGGGGGGCAGGTTACTAAATTGTTTTTAAAAAATAGATTAAATACTGATAGCTCTTTCTTTTTCTTTCTTTCTTTTCTTTCACTCTTTTGGTTCTGTGTAGAATAGTGGTACACATAACGGCTTCAGTTCTACTGTAAGTGCTGTCATTGCTTTACTTGGTATAATTTACCTACAGCCTTATGTGGACACATTTTTATAACTGAAGTAAATACAGAATCCCCAGGGGTTGTATCTTAAAGGGGGGCACTGTTTGTCATCAGTGATGCCCTGTTTAACTCTGACTCCAGCTGAGTTGTATGTTGGTTAAATGGAGAAACTCTTGTGGAGTTTGGACAGTTTGCTCGTGGGGCAGGGAGAGGAGAGAAGAGCACACCAATGAATACAACCAATACCAAAAAAAGAAGATGGAAATGGGCAAAACGAGGAACTTGAATGTCTTTGCCATTTGTGGACTCCAGCTGTCTAGCTACCGCTATCACAGTAACACCTGGGGGCATGTGTGTGCACGTACATATGTATAAGGTAATAATAGAGAGTGTATGATCCTTAACTTTGGGATGGCCATGTTGCTCATGAGTTAGTTATATTCATCCCAAGGTAGTCTTTATACCATGTTCTTGCTTACTCTACGTGAGCCATGTATTATAAATAAATCAATAAATAAAAAGTCTGTTTTAGAAATGTTTCCAAAAGTTATTGGTGGTGGTGGTATCTTCCATATTCCTCTGCCTGTCCCCCACATACTCTGGGCTGGCTCATTCTGCAGAAAAACTCTCAGGAGACTAAGGAGGAGGAGAACTCTACCAGGATCCCCCAATGGAGATTCTTCCACCCCCATGGGATCCACCCCCAAATTCTAGGGATCCTGAGGTATCAATGGGGGACTTTGTGGAGGGTCTGAGCCTCCTCTACTGCATCTTTGGCTGTTTGTTTTCTTCCACCTTCCCCTCCATTAAAACAAGAATATTTGGCAAATAGTGATGTAAACTAGCTAATTATCATGCTGTTTTGATAGAAAAACTCACCTAACAATAATGATGCTTTTTATGTATTTGTTTGCATTATAGTAGCACCTTGGTCAGGAGCTCCAATCCTGGGTGAGGACCCCATTGTGCAAGGAGCAGTAAAGAAAAACCATTTCGTACAAAATAATTGTGCTGTTCTACATGCCAATATGTGTTATACAAAACCAATACATATGGTTTTTCCATTCTTTCCTGGAAAGTTCTTAGTTTTAAGTGCCCCTCCAGGGGTGAGTGAACATTTAAAATGTCAGAAATACTTCCTGTGGAAGCAATTTGAGCTTGAGATTTTTGTCAGGGATTTGAATTACTCACTAAATTGATGGAACATAAATAATTGTGCCCTTCACAGTGTCACCGGCTTAGTCATGATGATAGAGATACGTACACATAAAAATCAATACAGGCTTAGTCAGTGCTCAGAATCTGCTTTATTTCCTTCATCTCCAGGCATAATTTCCTAGAATCTTAATGTCATAATAAGCTTAATTTTACAAGAAGAACCATATGAAGTCCCTAAGCTGGAAGGAAAACTAGTGATGTGCCAAACACCCTAACAGTGTGGTAGACAAACGCCAGTGCTTTCAGGTTTGCTTCATGTCTTCCTGCCTCATGTCACAGGCTGTGGAGGAGTCCAAATTCCAGGGTGCCCCCTTGCAAAGCAGTGCATAGGCACGAGAACGAAGAGGCCGCTTTTCTCAGAGCTGCCAGATGCCTGTTGCTGACGTTGGCTCTGCTTCCAGTTTTCTGCCTTGCCAAGGGTTGCCGCTCTTGCCCTCCAGAGAGGCACATGTTGTTCTTGCCCACCCTTTTTTTTTTTCTCATCTGGTACAAAATACACCATGTGCATGGGCCTGTGTCTGGTGGTGCTCCTGCTAGACCAACAGGCTTCGAGAGCGGAGCCCTCTCTCCACAGATGGGACGTAGCGGGAGGCGGCAGCAGTGCAAGCTTCCTGATGCTGATCTGCCAACTTGTTTTCAGGCTTGGCTCTTGGCCCCCTTTTTCTGTGTCCATTCAGTGCTTAGCGTCTCTGCGGAGACGGACAGCCAAGGTCAGTGCCAGTTGTGCCGGTCGTTTTTGTGATCTCCACGAGGAATTGGTTGAAGTTAAATCATACGTCAAGACATGGTGGTCATCGCTGTGACCTGGGCAGCGTGTGAATGATCAGTGACCCTGCCGAAATATCATTCCCAGTCTACAGAACCATCCACTCTTCCACCTCTATTTTATTGTTCCCAATAAGCGTCTCTCTTTGCCCCGACTCCTGATACTGTTGTACGTGACGCAGAAGCGCAGAGGCTAGACAGTAGCTGCTCCCTCCAGCATGAGTACTGAGGCCCTCTGTTCTCAGACAGAAAGTGCGTGCCCACTCTTGGAAGTCCAAGGGGCACTGATACTGAGGCCTGTATTTTGCAGAAGATTACCATTACAATCAATGATCAAGCTTTCTCCTGCCTCCCTGATACTCCAGCTAGAGACCTGAGGGACACCTAACGTAACATGGAGCTATTCCACAGAAGTATTGATTTGCCACCTCATGTGTTTCTGATTTTCTCATTTCGTGAGACAAGGCGGTGAAGTAATATCTTTTACTGGGCCAGCTTCCACTGGTGAAAGAGACGACCTTTCACGTTACACAAGGCTCTTCCTCCTCCGCTGGTGTCAGTCCTCTCAAGATATTCTATCTCTTGAAGGGAGTAGCTTCTTTGATGTTCAGCATTGTCCCTCGCACATCGGGTGACCAGATATCACGATTTTATAGGGTTAGTCCCGATATTTGGGCCTTTGTCTTATATAGGTGCCTATTACCTCCCGCCCCCATCCCAATTTTTCACCCTTGTTATCTGGTCACCCTACTCGCACACACACGCGCACCATGTGTGTCTTCTTCCTTCAGTCTTACTATATGTACCACCGAAGTAAACAGACAGAAATATTACGTTTGCAGTGTTGTTGTTGCCGTGTTGGTCCCAGGATGTTAGAGAGACAAGGTGGGTGAGGTAATATCTTGTCTTGGACCAACTTCTGTTGGAATGCTCTGTGTAGCGGGAAAGCTTGTATCTTTCACCAACAGAATCTGGTCCAATAAAAGAGATTGCCTCATCCCCCTTACTGCTCTCAAAAAATGAAGAGCAGACGGCGCCACTCCAGA